ATCAACCAGCTGGGAATTTAGCTCTTTTGTAATTCTTTCCTTAAATACTGACTAGAACTTTGCTAGCAAAAAATAAAAGATCTCTGTGGCTTATATACATTTGTACTATCTACATTTGCTGGATGCAAACATCAACATTTCAGCCCTATTTTGCAAGACTCAGGGTGGTTTTAAGTGTTAAAACCAATGGCAGTGAAAACATTAAAACACTGCAATCTAAATGCAGTACAAGGGCAGTCAGCAGCGTTAACCAAGTAACATGCAGTCTAGCAGCAATGGATGGAGACTAAAAATAACGCCACTTGCCTGGCATTGCAGTGATACAAGATCGATGCCAGGTGAGCTTCCTTGCAGAGACCATTCTGTAACTGGAGCCCCACCATCAAGTAGGGTGTTCCTCTCGTAGCCACCATACCTCATTATGTACTCTCCAGATGTTTGGGACTACAACTTCCAGCATCGCTAATCATTGGCTGTGCCGGCTGGGGCTGATGGGAGTTGAAGTAGAAAGCCTCTGCTGGGAGCCAGGTTGGGGAAGGGTGACACATTATAGTGCATATAGCATACTACAAGAAGAGCTGAGTGATTTCCTGCTGCTTTTGAGTATTTATATCTCATCAGCAGAGCACAGATTATGCTAGAAGGACAGCTCGGTCACAGGGCGTCATGTGTGGAGGCAGCCTGGAGAGCCAAGCCTCTGCTTCCGGGGGCAGGTGACACCTTGGCCCTTCACTGACATCCACATATTAGGTGTGGGGATCTCCAGGGAAAAGCTTTCCACTCATTCTAGAACTCCAACAAAGAGAGTTCTGGAATATGTGCAAAGTCTACCTACTGACCTATCAATAGCCCTGCACAGGCATTCCAGAGGATGCAAGGGGGCTTGAAATGGGGGAGCTTAAAGTGCTGGGCTCAATCCCAGTCTGAACTTTAACCCCTCACACGTTCTCTTTACACCTGAACAGGGCTTAAGCTTGGAAGCTTTTCCCTGCTGGCATGCCTAACCTCAAGAGAAAGGCATGGTGCACATTCACACAACTCTTTCATGCAGAAATCATGGAAGGGCAAGAGCCCTGATTAGGTGTAACCCGAGAGGAGAGGGGCATGCTTAATTGTGTCTCCCCAACAGAGCTTTATTTAGAAGAGTACAGTTCAAAAGAGCTGTCAATGAACATGCTTTGGACAGATAATACACAGTATATAGAAAAGTATTTTATTTTCATTTGTTGTGTTACAACACTCTCATTAGAAAGTAGGATGGAAGAAATATTAATACTTCTATTTAAGTACACCTGTTGTAACCCATCTGTGTATTCAGTGGAAATCTGTTTTAGTTAGACAGAATTCCTGCATTTCTTCATCTGTTTTATGAATGAACACGCAGAGACATCTGTGAAAATCATCAGGAGCTGCAGCCATCAAAGGATGCTGATTATAGTCCCGCTGACAAACTCTGAGCTGAATTCCTCAGGCTGCAAAGAGAAGTGTCTTAGATTTGCTCATTACTACACTATCATTAAATCTCATGAATTACAGTTTTAAATTTTGGAATGTTTTATCTATTGCACCCCTATATTAACTCACCTTGGGAGGTGACATCCTGAAGAGTGGGGTAGAAATGTTAATAATGATAATGATTATTCTGCAAGCTTATCCTTTCTTAGACTTAAATGTTTTGTAGAGGAAAGTGCAGTAGTTGTCACAAAGGACAGTGAAGAAACTCCTACTTTGATCTGTGGAAACGACTCTTAGAATAGTTACAGTTTCCTTGTCTTGGAATGCCTACCCAGAGGGGTCTCATCTAGGGCCTCTTATGGCACCAGGTGAAGATTTTTTTAAAAAAATTCCCAGGCATTTTAAGAACTCCTTTTATAACTTTTAGAACACTAACTTTTATTTCTGTTGGGTAACGGTTGTTCTTTACTGCAGTTCCCAAATGTGCAGGTGATGGTCCATGAGATATAGAATATTGGGTTGAAAATGAAATACTATAGAGCTATGTGGAACAAAACCAAACATGGTGCTCAAGCTGTTTGTGGTTTCTTGTGTGACTGGATTCTCAGCTTCACACATGCACTGGATTCAGACAGCATGGATTGTTACTGTTGAAATGTGTGTTATTATGTTGTCTGAATACAATCAAGATAACAAACCATGGTGAACAACCCACACAATAACCCATGTTTCAACAACAATCCACACTGAACCCATTCTTAGCCCTTGACTGTAGGTTGCCCTAGTATTGCAGAATAATAGAGTTGGAAGGGGCCAAGAAAGCCATTGGGTCCTGCTGGTGCAGGATGGCAAGTTACACCATCCCACTCATATGACTGTCTAGTTTTGCCTTGAATGTCTCCAGTGTGGGAGAGCCCCCCACCTCTCCAGGCAGCTGGTTCCACTGTTGTACTGCTCTGACAGTGAGGAAACATTTCCTGGTATCCAGCCTGAATCTGGGTTGTGACATCTGGAGTTGATTATTTCATGTCCTATACTCTGGTATCAGTGAGAGGCGATCCTGCCCTTCCACTCTGTGACAATCTTTCAGGTACTAGAGTGTTATCATGTCCCACCTCAGTCTTCTCTTCTCAAAAGTGAACATACCCAGTTATCTCAGTCTCTTCTCATAAGACTTTGTTTCCAAAGCATGGATCATCTTAGTAGCTCTCCTCTGAACCCTTTCTAATTTCTCCTCTGAACCCTCTGCATCTTTCTTAAATTTTGGTGCCCAGAACTTGACACAGTATTCTAGATGAGACTAGTTTAGAGAATAGGGGAATTAGCACTTCTTTTGATTTGGAAATTATACTTCTATTAATGCATCCCAAATTGAGATTTGCCCTTCATGCTGCTACTTCGTATTGTTGGCTCATATTTAGCTTGTTGTCCACAATTACTCCAAGATCGTTTTCTTTTTCAGTTCTGTTGAGTCAAGTGTTCCCCATCTTGTATTGATGCTTTTGGTTTCTTTTTCCTAGGTGGAGAACTTGGCATTTGCCCCTATTGAACCTCATTCGGTTTCTTTCAGTCCAGCTTTCAAGCTTATCTAGATCACCCCAGATCTTCTTTCTGTCTTCCAGGGTGTTAGCTATTGCATTCAGTGTTGTATCATATGCAAATCTGATTATCATTTCTTGCACCTCCTCATCTAGATCATTATCATATCATCTGAACCTAGTCACTATCATGATTACAGAGCAGGATCATGGACATTGTACTGAATCTCTAGGGTGGATTGTCTGCTTCAGTGTCCTCCACAGAGGAAAGCTTTTCTTAACTGAAACCAACTGAAATATTGGTTGAGAATGAAACCAGCCATTCTCAACCGATATTTTAGACTACAACTTCCAGCATTCCTGACTATTGGCTGTGCGGACTGGGGCTGCTTAGAGTTAGTCAAAAGCATCTGGTGGGAACCAGGCTGACTTAAACAATCCGTATACCTTGCCTGCCACTATGGCTTGGAAATTTCACAATATTTAATAAATAGCACCCAGCTGAGGGGACAGTTTCAAGAGGAGAGTGACTGGTGTCAGAAACAGTGGATGCGAATATGCTGGGTGTGTACAATCAAAAGAACATTACAGTTTACTCAGACATACAGGAAGTATATGGAACAGTAGGTAGCCCCCAGAAAGGATTAGAAAGATGGATTCTGTTCAAGAAGCTTTTATAATCATAAATCAATGAATAATCATACAATTTATAATAATAAAAGTTACAATCATGAAACCATGAAGCAGTTGTATAGACAGTTTGGAGAAGAGTAGGTGAGCAGGTAGGCAGTTTGCCAGAGGTACATGAGAATGGAAACATGGTGGCTGAATAGATTAAGACAAGGGAAAGCAAAAGGAAGGTGCTCTATGACAGGCATACATTAACACAGGGGTGGCCAAACTGAGGCTTGAAGCCCCATGTGGTTCTTTGAGTTTATTTTGCAGCTCACCGCTTGGGGCCCGCTGCCCGCTGCCCGCTGCAGCTGCCTTTGGGTGCCCACTTGTGGCTCTCAAACAGCTGACATTTACTGTATGTGGTTCTTCTGTTAAGCAAGTCTGGCCACCCCTGCATTCGCATATCTAAGCTGCACACGCTGCTAGGAGCACCGCTGCCTGATCAGGTCACCTTAACAGAGCTGTTCTTACAGTGTCAGGCTCCAGCAGCCATATCACACCAGAGCTTTTGCTCATTTTGCCCTGACACGGGCATTTCCTTCAATCGTGATCTGATGCATGCGCTCCCTTCCCAGGGTGCTTTCCAGGGCAGTATGGGCTGCTGGGGCCGCAGTGTGACATGTAGTTTGCACCTTGGCCACGAAGCCTGAGCTGTCTGTATACCAACATCCCTTATTACTGGTCTTAATTGAGGGCAACATGAGAAGGTCCTGTGTAAACAGGGTTTTCATGACAACAATAACCAGACTGCCCTGGATGTGCCTGACAGAAGACTGGGTCCCATGTGGACCACATGCCCACTCAGTCCTGTGGGACACCCTCCCCTCCTACTCCTAGTTACCCTCCCCCTCCTAGCGGCCCTCTTGGACTTGCGGCAGCTTGACTCTTTTTAAAAACTATTTTTTCAGATGGCAGAGCCCAGCGGCAGAGCCAGCTTCCACGATCCCCCTTTCAGCAGCCACCAGGTGTACCCCTAAGGGGGCACCTTGGGGGAGTGGCCTGTGCTTGCCTCCTTTACTCCTCATGCTTCACGCTAAGATTGAGATATTGGAGGGAAAGTCGGCGTGGATGTCGAGGCGGTCACAGTCACCGTGTCCGTGGCCTCCCTTTCGCTCAGCATCAACAGGGCGGCTACTGGAAGCATTACGGTACCGTCTGGTTGCTTGGGAAGTCCGTGCCAAGGAGAAGAAGGGGGCGGAGAAGGGGGCGGAGTTTCCGACGTGGCAGCCGCTCAATAGGAGCGCAGAACGCCAAGCGCATCAGCGAAGTGGGCGGAGGGAGCGCAGCTCCGGCTGGAAGTGCCAGGGCTGTTCTAGAAAGCGCGGACCGGGAACGCGGGGGGGCTGCGTGTTCTCAGGCGAGCGTGGAAAGCGCTTCTCGCAGGCAGGGAAGGACAAGGCACGTCGTGGGGTCTCCCCGTACGCTGCTTCGTCCCAGATCCAAACCGGCTGTTGCTGCTCCTTTGCCTCTGCCTCTCGGGGGGCCGTAGCGCTCCTGCCATATCCAGGTCCGCCAGCCTGCCTCATGCCCATCTCTCTCCCCTTCGCTTCTAATGGCCCGGCTCCCCCTCCGGCTGTGCAATGTGCCCCCGCTCCCCCCGCCCCTTGCGCCAAGGGCGATCTTAGTCATGCCTATTCCGAAGCCCCCCTGAGTTCGGTGGGACTTATTCCTGGGTAGGGCACGCGTCGGGTTGCAGCCTCGGGCAGACTGCATGGCTCCCCTCGCTCAGCATGGCTTGTGGACACTGGCACCGGCGAAACCTGAAGCCGCCTGCAATGTGCGGGTCTCGGAGGCGCAAATGGAAACGCGGCAGGGGATGACTTCATCGCTGGGTTGAGCTGGAGCCTGGCATGTTTCCACACGATAATAAACTCCTGCCTCACTTGTTTTCAGGGGCGGCTCAGTAACAGACAGCAGACCAGACAGGCGACCGTCTCCTCGGCAGCAGCCTTGGCGGCAGGTAAAATCCCTTTGGGCACCCGAGAGCTGATGTGTGACATCGGGGGCGGGCGGGCGGGGGCTGTAAAGGAAAGGGGAGGTGTCTTCCGAAGAAGCTTCTTCCAGGAGATTCCCTACCTGAACCACGTTTGTGTTCTTGCAGGTTAGCCCCAAAGTTTGGAAAAGGCTTGGATCCCAGGGAAACAGCAGCAGCAGTAGCTTAAACGCCTGGTTTCTTGGATAGCCACTTTCCCCCAGTTGGTCTACAAGCTGTTTTCAGGGGCGGCTCCCTAACCAGCACAAATAGGTGGTCACATGGGAGTTGTAGTCCAACGCATTTCCGAAGGCTGGGAAGGGCCGAGGGTAACCATAGCATGAGTTTAAACTCCTGGTAGCCTGGCTTCACCGCTCCTCTGCCTTCCTGAAAGGAGGACCCCCTTTGACCCGGGAACAACCCACAGCCTACTTTGAGTGGCGAGGTTGAGAGGGAGCACGCGGTACCTCCCTGGGGTTAAGTGCAGCTATTCGCGAGGGTTGGTTTTCCAAATGCAAAGCCCTGGAATACTTAATGTGGACGTGTTTTCCGATCAGTGCAGTGTCTGCGAGTGGTCCTGGCTAGGAACGTCTGCCATCCTCTGTCAACGTCAGGAGTAAGTCCTTGAGGCAAGGAAGCCACGTTGAGTAGGAGATGGGAGAAGGAGGGGGAGCAAGACGACCAAACTGAAGCATAGCGCCTCAGTCCATTAGGAGAGGCAGGTGACTTGATCCACAGCATTAATTGGTCTCCCAGATGACATTCAGGGTGGAAAAACAGTTTCCCTTTCAGTTTCTACAGCACCAGCAAGCACTCCATCTTTTAGGGCACGCTCCAAATTTTGCATGCATCTAGGTAAAGGAGCAGGAGTGTGGGGTGAGCGAAGGGATGGACTACTTTGGTTGTATGGGTAGCCTAGGGCTCCAGAGCTGTCTTTTAGGCTTTGAAGTTCTTCAGAGATGCCCCAGTTTCTTCTTACAGTGTTTCTTCAAGTGATAACAGCAGGGAATCTTCTGCAGCCTGAAAAACACTGCAACATAAACTGGGAATCAGAATCCACTTCAAGAGAATCCACTTCTAAGTAGCCCATGCGTGCATTCGGGAGGTAGGGGCTGAAATGGCTGCAGCATCTGAGAACTCTTCCCTCGGGGTCCTCAGGGGCTCTGGAGAGACAGGCTGTACTGACTTCCTGTGCTAGTGGTGCATAGCTGTGTAAGGTCATGTAAGGTCAGCCCTGCTAGGAGGACACATGACGATCTCCTGTATGTGAGAGTTTCCCAGGCTTTAAGAGTGCAGCAGTGTGGGTCATTCCATGGTTTGATTGCATATCCCTGTTGAAGCGACATGAATATAATGTTGAGCACACAAGTCCGTGTTGTGCATCAGTACGTGCAGGCCAGGCCGTACAAATGCTGGCTGCGTGGACAGTAGCATTTGGCTGAAAGCTGGGGGAGAAGAATCAGTGTAGTACCAAGGTTCATTTTCACCAATCCCATTGTGGATGACGGTCTGTTTGACCAGAGGTCTTAATGGGACAGAGAAAATGAACATATATACAACAACGTATACATGCCCATGTATGATGGATACATCATATTGGATTTATCATATTTCCTTTAAAGAATAATGGCTAATGTTTGTCAGTTGTTGAACAGCAGTATCGCTGTCATTTGATTATAACCGCATAGTCGTAATCATTCTTTATGAGCACTTGAAGGATCTTTAAACAAGCACCCAAATATCCCAGAATAAAGTAGAAACAGAAAAGCAAGAGCCATAATAGTAATTCACCAATGGCACTAGTAATTCCAAAAGGAAGTGGAAACTGAAGCTTGATTCTAAATGGTTGCCTCATTTCTACATTACATGTTCTCATCAACCACCGTCTGTTATTCATGATTCATGAATGCTGTGGTTTGCAGCATCCAAGGAGGCAAATGAGACTTTTCAGTCCCACTGATTTTAGTGGGAAGAGCTAAGCATATAGTATGATTAACTCCCTCCCTGGAAGCAAATTTGGTATCAAGTATGTGCATACATCTTTCTGCAGTTACAAACAAAAAAAATCTTGAAATTCAAGGCATTGGGCTTCTTTTATCACACCTACAATTGTGCCTTTTGATTTTTTTAAAGAATAAAACATTTGTTTGTTTCACTGTATGAATGCAATGTATATGACTGTAATGTATGATACACTGAATTGATTGGATCTGTGGTATGCCCATAGTTTATATTTGTATCAATATAAATTAATGCTTCAGGTTATATATTCAGATTTTGATGCTGAAATTTTGCTTTGGCCGAAACACAAAGTTGAATTTGTTTTAAACACCAAACAATTATTTAGATTAATTGGAAAAGTCCTTCCTTGTTTTTCTTCCATTTCTTCCCCACTCCAGCTCGTATTTTCTGCTTTTAGAATCTAATTCCTTGTCACCTCTATTCTTGCTTATTTGGCATTTTTAAACAAACGCAATGTAAATATTTCCTAGCCTCTTGTACTTTCTGGTCAAAACTGAGTCTAAACTATCAGATGCTTAAGGATTTACTTTCCCTGTTGAAGTGGGTCATTGGGACTCAAAACATAACTAGTTAAGAATGTTCTTTTGCTTTTTGCTGTTAATATTAGACAGTGGGTAGAAGAGTGACCTTCCAGTAGTCTATCTGCAATAATAAAGGTATCTTTTGGAAATCTTAGTGGAGAGAACTGATTTTTTATATGGAATTGTTTCATTTATCAGAATTACTTATAAAGGCACATTTGCTGCAGCATGGATGGCAATTTCTGCTTGCACCAGATATACTGAAATTACATGTTTGCATCAGTGTACTGAGTTCAATCTGCTGTTTCTGGGATGGAAGACATATACTCAGCTCATTTTCCCTTTGTTTATAAGCACTCTGAGAACATGTATTTTGCTTGTGAGCAGCAATTCCAAGTGAGCAGCGATTTTTCACACATTAGAATAGTGCTGAAAACCTTCTGGTCATCCATCTGCTCTCTCTTGCACAGGGAATGATACCATTTAGGAAGGGAAAAGCTTTAAAAGGTGTTGAAAAGTTTCCAATATATTGACATTTTGTGTGTTGCATCATGAACTCTTTCTCTTGTTCTACAGCTACATTAGAAATAAACAAGTTAACTGTAGAATTGGCAATGGTTTTCAGGTTGTAAGATTAGTGACCAGATTTCTTCAGGCAGATGCTGCCAAATGACTCACCAAAAACTAATTGCAGCTGTTATTTGACCAGCAGAGAGTCATATCCTAAGTTGAAAATTAATAGGACATACATAGCATAACTATACTAATACAAGCATATAATATGCTATACACCATGGGTGGCCAGACTTGCTCAATGGAAGAGCCACGTATGATAAATGTCAGATGTTTGGGAGCTGCAAATGGGTGCCTGTGGGTGTTGGCAGGTGGCATGCAGGCACCCATAGGTGCCCTGGGAGGTGAGCAGCAAGACTCAAAATAATTTCAAAAAGCCGCATGTGGCTCCCAAACTTTGGTTTGGTCATCTCTGCTATATACTAGTTTATTATCCTCTGTGTGTGTGTGTGTGTGTGTGATATGTTATACACACACAAATATATATAGTATACATACATATTTATATAAATGTATAAATACACACATGCACACGCACACAAATCTGTATCTGTATAAATGCCTACTTGCTTCCAATGTTTCACAATAAATGGCAGCCTGGTTTTATGTATGCTTACATGGAAGTTGTCTGATTGTGTTCATTGGGCCTTTTACCAAAGTAAGTGTGCATAAGATTTCTGGTTATCTTTACAATAGCTTTGTAAGATAGACTCATATTGCTGTTGCCATATTATAAATGGGGAGCTGAAAATGAGAGTCAGTGGTGACCTAAGGCCACTTAAAAAGTTTTAGCTAAGTTAAGATTTGAATTGGAAATAGGAGTGGTCATTTGTGGGAATGTGCATGCATGTGCGTGTGTGCAGAACAGCTGGACTGGGATGAAACAGATGTTATACTCTCTGACCATTGCAAACGGTCTGGTTTTCTGAGCCATATTTGAGGCAGGTTCATCATAAGGGCTGGACCAGATGTATTCTGGAATTGCTTTGATTTAGGTTGTCCCTGTACAGTGGTTTAAGACAAACAGCCACAAGTATCTGTGGGACTATTAGCAGCGAGGAATCAGCATCTCTGCAGTGGAACTGCATTGAGGTTAAAGCCTCACTCCTCGCCTAAAACAATCCCAGTCCAGACCCCAGTCTGTCCCATGTCATCGGCTGGGGGACTGGGAAAAGTGGGTAGGGTGCCCCAGGATCCTGGCAAGCAGGCTGCAAAGAGAGCAGCTAAGGCCCCCATGCAGCCTGGAGTTGGCCTGCATGTGAACTAGTACACCCTAAGCATACATCTCTGGATATTGTGAAACGCAAAGCTTCAAGCATTATGTTCCCTATTCAGTACTGTCGGGTTGGTGGGGAGTCAAGCAAAGGTAGCTTTTCAAAGAAGAGTGGAGACTAAGCAGGATCAGATGGAACCCCCTGGGTCCCCTGACTTACCTGTCCTCTCTGGAGCTGACAGCTGCACCACCCCTTCTAGTATCTGCAGGGTTGCTGCATTAACAGGCTCGCAGTTCCTTCCCATAGCACTGGGGTGCACAGCTAGTGGCTTACCAGGAGCTGCTGACTGGTCAGACTGAAAGAAGGTGCAGCTCACAGCATATGGACGGCCACAGGTTGGCCCTCCCTGCTCTCATAAGCTCCCATGGCAGCAGAGTGAGCAAGATGACTGGATGCCACTGCTTATAGACTTGTTGAAGACGCTTAACTGGTACGACAGCAGATTCATGTTCCATGCCCTTGCTGCAGACTGCTGTCTCTTCTATTTCTCATGGGTACTAGAGGAGAACAACCTATTGCTAAACTGTACTGCTTTACAGTACCGATGGGAGAATTCATGACTGAATGCTGCTCCTGGCTAACTCTTCCCAGCATAACC